CTAGATACTAGACTCGTCCATTTTTTTTTGTCGGACTTATCTATCAGTTGTCGCGCCGAAGGTATCTCATTAGATGTCCTTTTGTGTTTGACGGTGCCTAGGACACACTTTGATCTCCAGTTCCCGAAGCACGTGGCAATGAATCGAATCGACGAAAGAACAGGCCGTGCTTAAGCTCGAACCCTACGAACGCCAAGCTCTTTCGATGCGCTGGAGAATACAATCCTGAGGCCGAGCGAGCAGCCCACGTTCCGCTTAAGAAAGGCATGGACCACGCCGAGATTATTGAGTTGATTCGACTTGGCCAAGACATACATCGTCAGAAGTGCCGAGAGAACTAAAGGCGATTCCGCAAGAAACAAAACAGCTGGATCAATGACATTGAGAAGACCAACGAGCAACTGCGTGTCGAGGTTGCAGATCTGACGAGCCACCAACGAATTACGGCGACTTTACTCGGCAAGAATAGTATCTGGGTGGTGGGGTCGCGATATTTTCGACTCTTTCGCCATGGCCTTGCCCTTGGGTCCAAAAAAGCGTCAAAGTTTAATCAACAGCTCGACTTCATCCAGTCGAAAATGACCCCCGACGTGGCGACTAGCGTTGGTTACGGACCTGAATCGGTGATGAAGAGTTGGAGGTTTCTGCAATGGTTCGACGACGTTACAGTTGAGCTCGAAGGCTTGGAGGGCAGTGACAAGGTCCTGACTGCAACCACGAAAACGACAGCGACATTCACAGCTGAGACGCTGCGCAACTCGTTTCCCCGCCTATACAGCTCGCATAAAGGGAGTCGTTCTGCTGTCGTTGTATCTGTTTCGAGTCGAGGAGGAAAACAAACGTACTACCTTCTAGCTCTTTGCCGGAATTCCTAACACTCCGCGATGATAAGTCCAGAGGATTGCTGGAGTTAAAAATATCTATGCAAATTCCGGATAATCCAAAAATAAATTTCCGTGTGTATTTTTCGAGATCAGTGGACAGGGTTTCCTAAAAATATATTGTAATAAGCAATAATTGCCATATTATGCCATACCATTATGTATTTCGAGCCGCACGACTCCCCCGTCAATAACTTATTTCGGTAGATTTAGTCCAGAGTAACATATTTTGTCATTTTGAAATCAAAAATTTACTTATCATAACCCTATTGTATTACTTAGTAACCAATAAGAAAGCGGCCGCTGGAGCTACTCGACAACCAACCGTTCATGCTGCTGCTCTGAGCTGAGGCCAGGCTCATTTGTAAATTCCGTGCTGGCATGGATAATCTTCTCTCCCCAACGCGATCACCAGTTTCTCGCTACACCAGAAAGCAGATCTGCGATGTATTTTTCAAGCCAATCCGTGACGAGAATGACGACTGTATGGGTTTCTATCGATGTCGCTGCGGCGTACAGCGGAAACAGGACGCCAAACGTGGCTACACGAACCTAATCAACCACATTTATAGTCAACATCCTGATTATGAAACTACTCTAGACAGTTTTCAAGGCGGCAACAATGGCACACTCTTGTCGTTCGTAGACAAAAAGAGCGCCAATATATTTGGATGGCTAGAGTGGATTGTTGATGCTAACTTGCCGCTCTCATTCTGCGAGAACAGCCTAACGCGACGCTACACGACCCTCAAGCCCATATGTGATGATACCTTGGTCCACTACATGGCAGCTGTTTGCCAGGAAGTGCTGCGCACGTTCAGCGAATTTCTCCCTGAAAGATTTGGTATCGTATTTGACGGGTGGTCTTTCAAAAGTGAACATTACGTGGGGGTCTTTGCCGCTTTTGGTCATGATGGTAAGCGGGAGACTGTACTATTGGCGATGGCGCCTCTACTAGACAAGGAAGACTGCAACAACCATCCCCATCACGATGCTGATGCACATGTTGCGTTCCTCAAGACGATTTTAAAGCCGTTGAAGCGGCGCATCGAATGTGTCCGCTTCCTGGTCGGCGACAACTGTTCCGTCAATGGAAGCATCGCGTCAAAGCTGGGGATTTCGTTGGTCGGCTGTGCCAGCCATCGACTAAATCTCGCTATGACCCAGTATCTGGACGAGTATGAAGACATTTTGGAGAAAATCAACGATCTTATGAAGTTCCTGCGTGGTCTCAATCAGTCGGCAAAGTTAAGGTAAGCCGTATCTGAGTTTTATTCTATATCCGAGTTTTATTTATTTTATTTTTATGCGGACTACATAGACACAAAACACCACTCCGGCCAGTTTATTCGGCAAAAGACTCGATGGTCCTCCACGTTTTCCATGGTGGAACGCTACTTTCAAGCTCAAGCCCTTTCCTGGACTTCCGCGGATGACGACTTAGCAGCGTACATGCCATCCCCACTATAAGAGAGCCAGCTGCGTTCAACGCTTGACGATCTGAAAGGATTTTGAGTCGGTAAGCAAGAAGCCTCCACGAGGAAAAGGGAAATTTAAACCCTCGGCAAAAAGTTTTCCTGGTCTTTGTTTTGAAAGGCCCTCCCGGTAAAAAGACCACCGCGCGCTCAAAAACTATTGGTTTCCCACCGGCTTCCCCCCAAATTCCCGTATTCCCGCAAATATCTCGAAAGGTGTGGGGTTAAAGATTCGAAAAGGAGACCCGCTTTGAGCGAAATCGTCCGTCAGTCATTGTGTCCGCCTATCAACTCAGCAGCCGCACCCACAGGAAATAAAAGCTCAGCTTTGCTGAGCAAGCACTTAAGAAGCGGAAGGTGGATGCGCAACAGCAACCGAGGTAGGAGCTTTTTAAATGTCGTTGTCATGTCAATTTGACCAATTCCTTTTGTATATGAACAGATACGAGTTGGTGCAATACATTCCACCGACGTCTAATATTGCCGAACGTTTTTTTAGCCAAGCTGGAATCGTGTTGTCTCCTCAGCGGCAAGCCATGGCGCCGGCCCAACTGGAAAACATCCTATTTCTCAAGACAAATCGCCGATATTGGAACGTGGCAATGGTGCAGATGGTTGGTAAGCAGAATTGAATTTGAGGTATGCATAATGTATTTCATCTTTGTCAAGGGTGCAATAATGTATTTCATGTCGGCTCTACCATGCTCACCATTATATATTTCATCAGTTGTTTACCATATAATTGCAATACTATTCTAGGAAACCCTGCTCGTGATGACATCGAACACACAGGATTGTGGGATTAAAAAAGTACATATGAAAATATTGAATGAGAGAGCAAGACTCACGAAAATGTTGATTGCAGCCTATTTAACAATCACGTGGCTCGTGAAGACAGCGTGGACGAAGCTGCAATGTGACTAATCAACGCGTTTCTTTCCCTAGATTACTAGACTCGTCATACTTTTTTTTGTCGTCACTTATCTATCAGTTCAACGCGTCGAAGGTATCTCATTACGATGTCATTTTGTGTTTGACGTTGCCAAGGACACACAACGTTCTCCAGTTCCCGTAAAAAGTGGCAATGAATCGAATCGACGAAAGAACAGGCAGTGGGGAAGCTCGAACCCTACGAACGCCAAGCTCTTTCGATGCGCTGGTGAATACAATCCTGAGGTCGAGCGAGCAGCCAACGTTCCGCTTAAGAAAGGCATGGACCACGCCGAGATTATTGAGTTGATTCGACTTGGCCAAGACATACATCGTCAGAAGTGCCGAGAGAACTAAAGGCGATTCCGCAAGAAACAAAACAGCTGGATCAATGACATTGAGAAGACCAACGAGCAACTGCGTGTCGAGGTTGCAGATCTGACGAGCCACCAACGAATTACGGCGACTTTACTCGGCAAGAATAGTATCTGGGTGGTGGGGTCGCGATATTTTCGACTCTTTCGCCATGGCCTTGCCCTTGGGTCCAAAAAAGCGTCAAAGTTTAATCAACAGCTCGACTTCATCCAGTCGAAAATGACCCCCGACGTGGCGACTAGCGTTGGTTACGGACCTGAATCGGTGATGAAGAGTTGGAGGTTTCTGCAATGGTTCGACGACGTTACAGTTGAGCTCGAAGGCTTGGAGGGCAGTGACAAGGTCCTGACTGCAACCACGAAAACGACAGCGACATTCACAGCTGAGACGCTGCGCAACTCGTTTCCCCGCCTATACAGCTCGCATAAAGGGAGTCGTTCTGCAATTCTCGCGGATAAACTTCTTGGACAACGATTTGTTTTCCACGGGAAAACGGTTTTTAATTGGGATCATACTAGAGGACGTGTTTCAAGTGTGCAGATTCAGAACGATTTGCTCTCGCCAATGGTGTTCATGCTGAGAAGTTTGGAGGATGCAATTCAAGTGTACCAAGGCGCGCTCATGGATCTGAACGGCCACGTAAAGCGGGAGGGTGGTTGTTCTCAATACATCAACCGAGGACACAGACTACCTTGAGTACGAGTTGTAGGTTCGATAAGTCGTTGTACGTTAACAATCGAAAGTACTGCAAAGGAACAATATTTTGAATATGTTACAATCGGTTTTAATAAGAATTGCAATACCTGGTACTTACAATAGTAAAGCGATTTTGGGGCACGTAGCCTCTGCATAAATCGGAATGTGGTGCCTTTTAGCAGCAGTAGCATACCACAACATGTATTGTACCATCTTTCAAAAGAAGATGATGAAGGCTGCAGCATTTTGACCATGACTCTTCTATTTTATTCCTACCAATGCCATATTACGTGACGAATGTAAAAATCATTAGATTGTACAATATTTGGTTTTCATTTTGCAATCTTCTACGACCAGATCTCAATTCCTCAGCATTCGCCGATAGTGCGCAGCTTCTCCCTGTAAGTCATTCGTCGAGGGCGCTTAAGGCGTCGCATGTCCGAAGCAAGCGCTTACTACCGATATAATACTTCTGGGTATGGTTCACCTCCGACTGCACCACCCTCAGCAGGGAATTGCCGAGAGAGCGTTGCCATTGGCGAAAGGAGTTTGCGCATAAAGACGCGAATCGCCAGCTCACATTCGGCTAAGAAGGTGCTGGCGAAATTGATAACTCCTTAAGCTATATAATCTCGCGATGGCGGAGGTGCTGGTGAAGAGAAGTGCCCTAACTATTTTCTTTTTCGTTTTAGGAATGTAGATTTGGTCTTTATTGCTAAAACTGCGAAGTGTGAGACACCCACACGGTTTTTATTTATTTATTTCTGGCGAACAGCTTTGTAGTGAGCTTAAAAAAAAAATGCAAACTACTAATGCACTAGGACTTGTGTAGCCCGCTGACGATTTCTACTGTACACTAACGTGGTGATTGCTAACAGGTAAGTGTGTTAAGCGTCTTATAAGCTTAGCTATAAATCATTCTACTAATTTACCCCGGCAACATTATGCTAGCAATTAAGACGACTATCAATACATCTCATGTACGTTTAGCTATCAAATATGTCAGCTCTTTACAAAACTCAAACAGTTATCAACTGGTATTTTAACAGTATTTCTTGCGAACACTAAGTAGCGACACAGCATCTGCAAGAAGAATGAGACTGCATTATTGACAAACTTTTAAATCTACACGTACAGTAGATGTGTTATGTAGTATCAATATCATTTTTTTTTAATCTCCAAAACATTTTTTCTCAGAGAGTGGACGCCTTCCAAAACCAAGAAAACAATCGCCTGAAGTTCTCTAACTCGAACTACAATAGTTGTGCTGAGGCAATAGGTACTTCAGCAAATAGTCGAAAAGCGTGCGAAAAAGTCGTTTTCGGAACGAAACATATTAATTCGATAGAGAAGAGCACGTTCTCGTCGGCTGCCGTGAAACGACCTCTTGGCGGCAATTTACAGTAATCAACAGACCGCTGCTAGCCTTCGCCACTATCAGCCTCATAGACACACAAGCTTAACACGGCGAAAACTAGCATGTCCAACATACTGGGCAAAGCTCGCCATTGCATCCTCGATAACAGAGTTCAAAACTGTTTATGTACCCTTACTTGCTCAGTGTCTCCATAACACTCTTCACATGAGGTGGGTACAGCTTCGAAACGATACCCTGGCGGCCCAACACGTCGACTTGCTCACGCACAAGCTGTAGCGCCTTCTCCAGTTCGGGGCTGCCAGATTTCAGTGTTTTGTTCTTGTCCTTGATGCGGCGTGTGGCGTATGCGCGGAAGTTGTAGGTCTGTTTTAGTCCAAAATCAGCAGATACATGGTTTAGTTTAATCTAATTTTCGCTGGATAGAAGGAGAGATGGCAGCAGCAAAAATCTGCAACAGAGTTAACAGACGCAGGACCACACGACACGCACCTCGAACTTGGCTGCATTGCGCAGCATCTCGCGGTACAGACGCAGGACGGACGACGACGACGCCATAACTACTACCAACTAGAGGTGGAGGAGTCTACACTGTTTGTAGCCAATCGCATTTCGTTTAGCCTTCCTTACAAATGCCAAGTTTAAAATCCTTGCTGAACATGTAAGGCACAACCTTCGTACAACCGTTGTCGGTTGCACGCGGCATACCGGTATCTGATTCAATGGCACTGCCCGCATCTGCAGCGTCCGCTATCTGCAGCTTCCTAACGGGTCTGGACGCCATCTCGCTGTCCCACACGAGCTCCTTCTGGCTTCAACACCTCAGCGTTTCTTCCTACTGGCAACCAAAGCTCCCTACTCTCGCTGACCCGCTGCACGCCGCCGCGTACAAGGCCTTATTCCTTCGCAGTCGATCGCTGGGCTTCAAAGGTCTGATAAAATCTGATTCCAGTGTCAGAACCTCTGATTCATATCAACCCCCCAAAGTCCAATTATCAAGTCTCAGAGACACGAGCTTCAGCTTCGACGTCTGGTTCGCCCTGCTACCGGAGCAGCCTGACGGAGCGTACACGGGCGGTATCCTCTACGGCCTCCAGTCGGTGCACGCCGAGAGCCGCGTGTGGCCAAAATTCCACCAGCAGTTCGTAGTAATAAGCGCCTTAGGCGACTTATTCTGCTCTGTACTCGACTATCGCCCCGTGGTCAAGAGCAACCTCCAAGTGGGAAGATGGTACCATCTCGCTCTGACTTACGACCATCAAACGCACCGTCAAGACGTGTATCTTGATGGAGAAAAGCTTCGATCTGACACAGGAACGTTGCACCGAGAGATGGACTTCCTTAAGTACGAACAAGTTGGAACGGGGTGCATTACAGCCAATGGGCTTCACTTCCCCAAGCCAGGACACTTGGGATGGTATGGCTTTCATGGGGTTATAGACGACTTTCGAGTGTGGCGTGGGCTGCTGTCGGCAGAAGATGTAGCCACTTTATCTAGTGGCGAGGATGTAGTGGAGAAACACTTAATAAGTTCGTTGAAAGTGGGTACAGGTTCGTCACAAGGGCTCAGGTGGAATATCTGCGCTGTTCGCTGTTCAAGGCCGAGAGAAGGGCCACAACTGCACATGGCGACGCAGAGTAGGAGCAGTCGACTTGCCATTACGAGACCGGAACAATTACCAGCAGATGCAGTCGAGTTGCTGTGCAGCTACCTTGACTGGGTTTGATGCATTCCACTTGTCGCACACGAACTTTTGGTGGCTGACGTATTTTAGAGACGAAGAAATCTGGAAGCAAATTTTAGAATCTAGAACAGTATCAGATCTAGATCCGATCTGGAAGAAACAGTACATGACGTCGCGGTCGATGGTGTTCAGGGGCCTGCAAGGTAACGATGATCGACACATTGACTCGTACGCGTACTTGGCAAGTGCTGGACGTGAACAACCACACCCGTCTCGCTCCCGCTTGACTTTTCTGGGCAGCGAGAGCTTCAGCTTCGACCTTTGGTTCAGTCTGATGCCAGCAGCGGATGGAGAAGCGTTTGGTGGCATTATCTACGGCCTGCAGTCGTCCAGTCGGGAGAGTCGACGCTGGCCACACTTCCATCAACAGTTCGTACTTGTGAGCTCTACTGGAGATCTGTACTGCTCCATCTTGGACTCGAGACCTGTAGTAGCGACGAAGCTGGACTCAAATCGCTGGTATCACCTCGCACTGACCTACGACAACGAAACACAGAGTCAAGACGTGTATCTGGACGGCGCTAAGGTCCATTCGAGTACCGGTACACTTCACAACGAGTGGGGTTACCTGACTCATGAGCAGATCGGCACGGGATGCATCACAGCTGGTAGTCTGCACGTCCCTCGCCCTTCCTACGTGGGTTGGTATGGCTTCCACGGTATCCTCGACGACTTTCGCGTCTGGAATGGTAAATTACTACAGGACGACGTGAAGCTACTGGCTCGTGGTGGACAACTACCACGCCAAAGACTGCGAGCTTCAGTGAAGACAGCGACAACATTCGAGGACTCAGCACGACCGCTCTCGTGGGTAAATGTCCAGCTGACTATGTGCACTCGACCAACAGAAGGGAAACACATGCAACTGGTATCTTTTCAGTCGTCCAAACAGCCCAATTGCACCATCTCTTGAGTTTCTTTACATGGCTAGAGACTTATCTCGGACGACCAAGCGCTCTGGAGATGTTGACTCGACTGGCGTCGCATGCGTTCGTACTGCTGTCGCTGCTGCTGCTTCACCTTCCGCTCCGTCTGCACAGCTTCCGCGTCTTCTTGCGCGCGAAGCAAATGGCAACACTCGAAGCGACCCCGAGCACGAACAACAGCGCGCCCATACACGCCGCCAGAACGAGGGGGAGGCCCAAAACGACACGCCGCTGGACGTCGTGGGCACAATGCACCGTGGCCCGGCCCACGACTTACTCACACACTCACAGCGCCGGTTGAGGCATCTCCCTGTCCGGACAAACGTCGATCTCGGCCCGTGGGCTCGTCGGTGAGCGGTTTGGACAGTGCAGTCCGCGTCCGTACGACAGAAGGCCTTGCCGCGCACCTCCACAAGTTTATTCTCTTCATCTTCGTACTCGTCGAGGTGGTCCAGGATCCACCGACGCGTCGGGTGTGTCGATGGATCGCAGCCTACACTCATGAGTGAGCCAGGGGACAGATCTTGGTACACGCGAATGTAGTCGAGCTTCAGGTACATGGGGAAGGCGTCGCAAATGGCGTTCGCGACGGGGTCCAGTCCGTCGCCACGACAGACATTCTTGGGGTTGGGTGGCTGCGCTCCCCACTTACTCGACATGGCTACATTGAAGATGAGATACATGGGCTCCTCGATCATGATCTTGCTCGGGTTCTTGACGCTCGCTCCTTGCGGAGGCTCCGTGATCGTCTTGGCTGGAATCTCGTACAGTGGCTCACCCGACAGCATCCAACGCACGTAGCCATGTGGACCCGACACCCACTCGACTTGGTACTGCACCCAGTCAGTGTATGCTGCCATGTGCACGGGCCAGTTCGCAGACAAGGCGTCCATTTGAAAGGCGAAACTCGAGTCGTCTTGGGGCAACACTGGCGCGTCGTCACGAGGGTGGCAGCTCGGGTCGGAGTTGCCAGCACTACAGATGAAGTCGCCCATGTACGAGTTCATGGCCGAGAAGCACGTGCCGTTCGAGTTGATCCCCCAGCGATCGTCACCTTCAACATTGATATAGTCGAGATCCGAGTTGATATCGAGGGAAGCTGGACACGTGGTGACGGAGCATACGTTGTCTTCGATACCGGCACTCAGTGCGGCTTGCACGGTGGTGTAGCGCTGCGTCTCGCTCACGTTTTGTAGGCAGAAATTGTTTGCAGCGTAGCGCATGTTCTGATACCACGATGGGTGGCCACGTGCACTTAGATACACGCTCTCGGGGATGCCTGGGACGTTGCTACCTGGTGTTTCGCACGAGCTGGAGTAGATGCAGAGCTTGTTCTCGTCCTCCGGTGGGATAACGCGGAAGTCCGGCGGCATGCCTGGCCCCACTTGGATCGACGCCGAGATGGTGGTGCCTCCACCTTCGACGATATCGATCTCGGGCGCCCCACGTCCTTGGTGAGGGTTAAGTCCAGAGCCTGGATGCGACTCGCATGCGTTAATACGCTGGTTGGCTGGCGTGAATGTATCCGGGTCGCAGGCATCGTAGGAAAATGGCCACATCCGGTTCGTTGATCCGCTGAAGATCGCACGACCGAGATTCCCCATCATCCAGATCCCAGGCCATGTCGGGTAATAGCGCAGAGATCGAACTCGAGCGCTCTCGTCCAGACGAATGTCTGGGTTTCCAGACTCCTCAGAAAGAGCTCCTGGGAGTTGAGCACGAACTTCGACCATACCTCCTTGGATGCAAAACTTGTTCCACGACTGCACCATACCTCCGCGATAGAACTGACATACCAAAAGAAACATTTGGTTAGATGTTTTTAACTTTCACACAGTTCAGGGCGATGGAACTTACAAAGGTGACGTTCTCAAAGCCTGGCGTTTGGAGATAGCTATTCCAGACTTGGAGCTGAAGAACGGAGTCTTCCAGCTCAATCTGGAAGCTACAAACGTCGTGGACCTCGTCACACACTGTCGTTGTCTTGTTGTGTGCATAGACTTCCATTGCGTCGTTCACACCGTCCGGTTTCTCGATGGACGTCCACAAGTGATCGTCTCCTGGTCGAAAGGACCTCCCGGGAGTATTGAACTCGTCACTCATGACCAAATCCCAGGTATCGCCGCGTGACGTTTTCCAAGTATAACGCTCTTGTGGGGTGTCGGGATCCATCCACATCGTAAGACCCGACTGCGTTGTTAACTGGTTGTCCGGTCTTTTCGTTCGAGCAGCCAAGCTGTGGTGGACTTGTGCGAGCAGAAGTATGGAGGATATCAACGAGAGTCTCGGTAGTCTCATCGTGCCGAAAGTTGTGTCTCGAATCTGTTTTTTTTTGCTGCTGCGCATTGTGGGAGCCTGGGACGTGTCCATTTACGGACTCGGATTTTTCGGGGACAAGAACTGGTTTGTTCTAACGGTATATTGGAGACGTCATTTCGTAAGAAGTGAAGCTGAAATTGATGGCTGCTGACATCTCGTTGATGGATCTTAATGATAGCATTTTAAGCAACCCTCGCTGATACAGCTAGCTGGTGGGGCAGAGCGGATATTTTAATTTTGGAAATATATGGAAATTTTTCACAATTACACTAGACTTGACAGCTGGTCGACTTGCTTTTGAATAAGGAAGTCACCAACTATTGGGTAGAAAAAGGCAGGGAAAACTACAAACTGGGATACCGACGGCTTCGGTATTAGCGGTTCAGTTCTGAATTCAGATTTTTAAAAAAATCGAGCGGCTAGAAGGACCTGGCTTCATTCGCCCCACACCCCCCCCGGTTCGCCGCGCTCCATTAAAGCTCACCTCCTTCTATCGCTACGATGTCTGCTGCGACGCCCAAGAAGAGAAAGCGCGAGGAGGAGAAGGAGGAGGAGAAGGAGGAGGCTACGGAGCCCATGCAGGAGTTCCGCCAATTCCAAGGCGTATTTTCGTGTTGGGAAGCATTTCAAGATGCCTTTGATAGGTAAACATGAAGTTGTGCATTGTTGAATTAATGAACGGTGTGCACTAATGTATCGCTATGCTTCCTTCAGCTATCAGCAGGAGACACACCAATTATACAAGATTCGCTCCGCCGTTTCAGTCAAAGACCGCAACAAAGCTCGCACCAAGCAGGCTGCGAGACGAGAATCTACTGCTGAGCTATGGGACGAATCCCTCGGCAATTATGCGGTGTATTTCATTTGCACACACGGCTGGCAGTTCAAGCCAAGAGGCCAAGGAAAGCGGACTAACCACATTATCCGGGCAATCCAGTGCCAGGCTAAACTGAGCGCCAACTTGGTGAAGGGGAAGGATGGACTGTTCCAAGTTCGCGTTTCGAAACATTACGCAAGCCACAACCACGCCGTCGGCCCTGCCGTGTACTATTCGTATTCAGAAGCCCGACAAGTCAGCTCCCCCGCCACGAAAGGCGTTGTGAAAACTCTCGTACAAGGTACAGTGTTGATCTTGCTTACAGACCTGAGCGTGTGTCTAAACGTACTATGCAGCCGGGTCGAAAAAGAAGAAGATATTGCGGTATCTTAAGGAGGTTTCTGGGAAACCTATCTTGCCTAAAGACGTGGAGAACCTTATAGCGAAGATGCGTAGAGAAACCTACACATCGCAGGACGATAACGTGCGCGTCTCGCAGCTACTTAAAGACTTCAGTGAAGTTCCTGGAAACGCTGTCAACGTGTTCAGAGACCAACAAACAGGTCTGACATCATGCATCACCTTTCAAACGGCTTTCATGAGGCGAATGACTCGCAAGTTTCCAGAGGCAGTGTGTATCGACGCTACATACGGTACAAACATCAATCGGTACGCATAATTGGTTTTGCGATCACAAACTCGTGGATTGTTGGTTGACTAATCACCAATTTTTATGTTATGTGCGCATATAGATATCGATTATTTAGCTTTATGGTCACCGACAAGTTTGGATGTGGTGCATTTGCCCAACACGCCCTTATCGATGGAGAGAGCAGGTCCAACATGCAAAGTGCTGTGTCTGCATCCAAGGAAAACAATCCCGCTTGGAAGAAGGTCAGAGTGATAATCATTGACAAGGATTTCACTGAACTCGCATTGTTGAAGGATGCGTTTCCGGACGCTGTTGTGATTTTGTGCCATTTTCACGTCATCGACTACCTTAAACGAGAGGTGAGCAAGAAGAACTATGGATTTACGAACTTTGGGAAGACTCACGTGAAAAATTTGGTGACGCTGATGGTGCGTGCTGAGACTGAAGAGTCCTTTGATCACTATCTCTCTGCGTTGAAGGAGTTGTATGCAACGAGGCTAGCTTTCATGGATTACCTCGAAGAGAATTGGTTGAACTGCAAGGATTTGTGGTGCATGTTTAAGCGTGGTAATATTCCTCATCTCGACAATAACACAAACAACCGTCTAGAGGCAAGCTGGGGTGCCGCTAAGGGCATTTTGAATCGGCACATGGCAATGGACGAATGCATAGACCGCTTACTTTTCTTGCAACAAGCCGCGGAAGATGGGTGCTGGACGAAAGTGAACCGCGTTGGTTGCCGTTACAACCTTCACTACGACGAGGAAATGAGCGTGTTGGCGAAGCTTGCTACCCGTCACGCTTGTGATTTGGTAGAGGATGAATACAAGCTTAGTGGACAGCTAACATACGACACCTCCAACGACAAATTAAGGCCGTCGTTCGTAAGCTTGACCCGTGTAGAGTCAAATGTCACGTATGCTGTCAGTGTGGAGAAAAATCAGTGCAGCTGCAGTTTTTATCGTACATTGCAAATTGCTGAAGAAGAAGACGATAATGACGAAGCTGAAGATACTGTGCCAAATTTTACTGTGAAAGATGTCGAAGCTCCGTCTACTCGTGTCTTAAATCACAACGAAAAGTATCGCGCTGGGATTGCAGTTTGCCAGAAAATAGCAGAAACTATCTCTGATAAAGGATCGCGGAGCTTCCACAAGTGGATAAACTACCTAACGAAGGTGGAATCGCTTGCCAGGCTC